TAACAGGCTGGATTCTGGCCCTGTGTTAATCTGTTACGTTGACATTTGCAGCGTGTATAGAATCTAGCTATGAAATTGGAGAAAAGAGCAGAATCGTTCTTATACACCTCGCTTGCGCCTTTGACATGAGATCAAGACATGAGCTCCTATTATGATCTGCCAAAACGCTGAATGTTGTAGCAGCGTGAGTTACTTAACATCGATGCTGAGCAACCGAAGGTTCCATATGGACTTTTCGATCAGATCAGCTCAATTATGATGAATTACGCATGACCGCAAGGTTTAACATTGGTGTTTTTGCTTGACAATATCTGTGCCAACGGTATACCACCAACATTGTCAAAAATGTTCACTTATGGAACGACGTGCAGATAGCGACCTCAGTGCAGCTACATTTTGAAAATTTTGCAGTCGCTTGAAAGAATCACGGTATTTTTTTTGACCTGATACCGGATTGAAGCGGCATTAGCACCGTCCCTTTGCTTCTAGTGGCCGAACTGACCGTTTAAGCAGGACACGGCTCCATGGTATTTGAGCGCCTGCAATACATGGGCGCAAAACCGCATCATTAGGCAGGATTGAACAAGGGCGCGTTTCGACACCTTCAAATATGCCATGATCCGTAGGATCATATATATATGTGCATAAATATGCCTACGGATCGTGGCATATTTGAAGGTGTCGAAACGCGTCCTTGTTCGGTCCTGCCTAATAATGCGGTTTTGCATCCATTGTTAATTGCGTATGCTTCATTAATATATTTTTATTACTTGCATAAAGTCGATGACCGGCAAATCAGGATGACCAGCGGCGTTTTCCATGAACTATCCGTTGTGATTTGAGCTGAAAACGAAGCCATATGTGTTAAAGTAGATTTTCATAGTCACGTTAACTTATGGTCATTATTCGTTGGCCATGAAAGAAACTGTGATCCCGGTATAAGCAGCTGAAATGGGCTTTCTGAGACGAATCGGTGGGCTTACGCCTCTTGACAAAATCTGCTCTTCAGATATAGCCTTTGGGTGCGCAGCCGCTGTTTCTCTAGTTTGAAAAGTCACAGCCGCGACGGTTTGGGAACGTGTTGTGAATGCTTCCAGAAAGGTGTGAAACAGCTACTAGTTGCTCAACCGACTGGCCGAAGATCATGGGGTAGGCCGAAAGCGAATCAGAGCAAATATCTCGATAGAGTCTGCTCCAGACTCAGATTATCTTCTGCCAAAGCCAAAACGCTAACGTAAAATCACGGCAGAAGCTGCCTGACGCTACTACTTCTGTTACCTGAAAGAATAAGTGGCTATCAAGACTGACTTGCTCACTCATTCACTCACTCACTCAGTGGCATAAAGTGAATATACGTAAATTTCGTT